CCAGCCTCCTCCCTCAGACCCAGGGTCCAGGCCCAGCCTCCTCCCTAGGCCCAGGGTCCAGGCCCAGCCCCCTCCTTCAGCAAGCCCACCCATCTGGCCCCACCCCAGGTGCCCAGCGCCCACACCCCTGGCGCCCAGCCGTCCCCAGCACTCACAAATCGGGAGGAGTTGTCGTTCTTCACTGTCTTGGCGTTGCCGAAGGCCTCCAGGATGGGGTTGGCCTGAAGAAGCTGCCGCTCCAGCTCCCCCTGCCGGTGCGGGACATGGGCGTCAGGGAGAGGGGACCAGGGGCGGGCTGAGCGTCTGTGTGGGAGGGGCCCTCCTGGGGGTCCTGCCTGACCCCCCACATCCGGGTCCTGCTGCTCCTTCTACCWCGAGGGCAACCGGGAAGCGCCCCCAAGACATCCCGAGGGGAGATGGAACCAAACAGCAAACAACCAGCTGGAGAGCAGCGCCCATTAATTAAGAATAAACGGGGGGAGAGACACCAGGAAACAGGACTCTGATCTCCACAGATACACACACGTTGGTAAACATGGAAAGGACTGCCAGGTCACACACCAAGCTGTCAGCCGCGCAAGCCACTCGGGACTGCGAGGAGGAGAGGGGACTTCCACCCTGTCTGATTTTGTCGTGGTGGTGATGCCTATGCGCCCAGGTGTCACTTAGAGACTAAGTCTACACCATCCAGGAAAAGCTCTTCAAACCATCCGGCACAAAGCAGGCATTCAGGAAGGGGTGGGCTCCTTCCCCAACAAGCCTGCTCCATGGCAGGACCCTCACTGACGTTCCCTCCTGACCCTCAGTATTAGACCTGGCACATAGTAGGTGCTCAGCTAAACAGAAGCCCACGTGTGTCTTCTCAGTCTRCATCTTGCTTGAGTTGGATGAAATGGTCTCAGCTGGTGGACGGTTTTGAAGAGTGAAAAAATATATGCAAAGCGAAATGAACATGTGGCTTGGCACATGAGCATTCAATACGGGAGTCTGCCTCCCTCGCTCGGCTGCCCGCTCTGCGTGTGTGGAGGCAGTATCACCGCCACCTCTAGATACACAGTGGGTCAGCAGTAAGAGGTACATTGGTATCTGGGCTATCCATGTTAGCATGGGGCCTGGGTACATGCACACAGTAGGGCCACTGTAAACAGCAGCAGGGGGCAGTGTGTACACAGTAGGGTTGCACCAAATGACAGCATGGGCCTTGGCGTGCACACAGTAGGACTGATAAGTGCACTCCTACTGTGCGCAGTCCTTGGCTGGTGCGATCACTCTTGGACCCTCTCTACCAGATGACCGCGGGCTGGGTGGCCAGGGYACATTAGGGGCAGCAAGACTGGAGGCAGTTCCCTGCTACTCACATAAGACACGGTGCTGGCGGAGGCCTGAGGAAGTCACGGGACACGAGACATGGACCAGGACACAGCACATGGAACGTGGACAGACACACAGGTGAACAGGTGGCCTTGGACAGAGGCAGGGCCAGGGGGCAGAGGAACCAGGATTGTGGAGTGGGATGGCACGGGGCGGGGCCACAGGCCCSGGTGTGATCCCACTCCAGGGTGCGAGCAGGACTCACCCGCCCCTGCCTGGGGTTTCTCATGGTTACCTCGGGGAGACAGAGGCCCTGCTTCAGGGCTGCTGAGTCACAGGACAGAGATGTGGGAAGTGGGAGCAGCACAGGCGGCCATGCAGACCCCATGCCCAGGCACATGGACACCACAGTCAGGCTCAGAGTGCTGGGTGCCATTCAGGACTATCTGTGTATGGACCCGCCTCACTCCCAGCACCACTGCAGCACACAGTAGGTGCTCAGGCAYRCAGTAGGTGCTGYAGGCAYACAGTAGGTGCTCAGGCATGCAGTAGATGCTTCAGGCACACAGTAGGTGCTCAGGCACACAGTAGGTGCTCAGGCACGCGGTAGGTGCTCGGGCAGCCTAGGGGCAGGAGACAGCAGCTCCGTGAGGGAGGCAGGCAGTGTGTGGGGAGCAAAACCCAGGACAGAGGGGACGATGCTCCTGGCCAGGCCTGGGGTGTCCCAAGGCTGGATGGCTTACGGGGACGCCAGGCTCCTTCCTGCCCTTCGGCGATGATGCCACGTGGGCCAGGTATTGGATGACCTTCTTGGTATTTTCTGTCTTCCCGGCTCCAGACTCCCCGCTGTGGGGGAACACGGGGAAGCACARGGCTGGGTAAGGAGGCCAGGTAGCCCCTGCCCTGCCCACTGCAAAGAGAACATGCCCAGCCAGGACCCTCTTCCTCCAGGAAGTCCTTCCAGATTACTCACGTGCAGAGAATGGACTGATCCTCGCGATCTGTAGAGGAAAGAAGGGGAGCATGTCATGTGGGAGGGGCTCTCCCACAGGACCCTCTGGTCCAAAGGGTAAGGAAATGATTGGGTTTTGTTGCACGACACTCCTGGATTCTAATATCCCTCCCTGACTAAGCCTCTTGCTTGCTGTGTGACCCTGGGAAAGCAGCTGCCCCTCTCTGTGCCTTGGTTTCCTCACCTGGAAATGGAGACCACAAACCCCACTGAACAGATCATAATCACAATTTGAGTCCCTATTGTGTGCCACTTCATCTGGGCTTCAGAGACTCAAAGACACAGAATGAAGTCTTGAACTTCAGCCCSGATCTGCCCACCTGGGCCCTGCAGAATCATTCCCACGCAAAGGATGACCTGCTAAAATCCAGCCGCCTAGGACTCAGGGACAGGACGGTGTCAYGGAGCTTCAGCTCCAGCGGGGGACGGACAAAACGGGAACCAACACCAAAGACGTGTTTGGCTCCTCAGGTGGATAGAGCCAGGCCCGAAGCTGGGTTCGGAGGGGACGGCATGGGGACAGAGCAGGCCAGCTCAGAAGAGGTGACCTTTCAGACAGGGGCAGCACTGGGGYGGGCAGAGGACACAGCCCCAGGGCCTGCAGGAGGGCTGAGCCGAGGGGTGGAGAGACAGAAGAGGCCCGGGGGCGAGGTGGGAGGGGGCAGCTGGGTTTTGAGCCTCATTAAGGGTCTGTGTGGTTTTAAGGGGTGGGGGGAGGATGAGCTGCCCCCAGCGGGACCTCGGGGTGAGCAGCCTGGTTCGGGTGTCATAGGGACACAGCGTTGAGACCTGGCTRGTTCTCTTGTGGCCTGGGGCCACATCTGACAAAGAGGACGTGAAACAGCAGCCCAGGGAGAATGTCCTCCACTCGCCCAGCAGGGACCAGACCTTACAGCAGGACACAGAGACCCAGCRCCCAGCCACCCACCCACCGGTGTCACCCCAGAGTGGCTGCACTGCTCCGTGCCTCAGTGTCCCCATCTAGAAATGAGAGACAGCGGGTACCGCGAGGCTAATGATGTAACCCAGCGACATACAAACAGAGGACCGCCAGGAGAAACAGCGGAAGCCACTATTCCAGTTGGGGACGTCAACATCCCTTGCACAAACACAGACAGACGGGCAGGACAAAGATCAGGAGGTCAGAGTTGAACCAGGGSCCCGTGGAGCAGCCGGGCACCGTGGGCCACCAGCCTCACACACCGCAGYGGAACCCCCGCCCTCGACCGTCTCAAGACAGACGGGGCCTCTGCACCCCGACACACCGCACGGGCTGGGGGGGATCCAGAGCRAACCCCGGCTGCCCTCAGACCACAGCGGAGTTGAACAGAAAYGGAATCAGAAAGACAACTGGAAATCGCAGCCCGCACCCAGAGCCAGCCACGCGCGGGCCCAGGCAGGCTCCCGGAGAAGCAGGTCTGGGAGAGATGCGGGCGTGCGGGCTCGCCTGACTSGGCTGCTTATCCCTCAGATATCACAATAGCTGGCAGGTGACAATAGCTCGGGATTATGAGGAAAGCAAATAAGGAACAAGGTTACGTTACATGGCCAGACGCGGCTGGCTGTCACCACGCACAGCTGGGTCACGTGRGCCTGAACCCATCACCTGGAAGGACACTCTCCCACACTCAGAGGCCCCTCCCAGGCACCCTGCACCCGTGACTCTCCAACCCTCAGCATGAAGCAGCCGCCGGGCCCCGCAGCACATGCCCACTGCTGGGTGTCCCCAGAGCCCCAGAACGTCGGACTCGGCAGGTGGGGGGAGGGGGAGCTGCCAATGCTGACCCCGCTATGGGGACCACCACATTAGATGGCGTGCGTGTGTTATTAGAACACACAGTAGAAATGCAGCGGATCAATACAATACGGCCACCGCACACACTGCTGTTTGCTACCATGTCATTGGATATAATCAGAGGTAAAATGTTGTGAGTCTAATATATACTTACTATGTACTAAAAATTTACTAAARTAGGTGATACATAAGGAGTGTGTTAGGTACACTAATTCTGTAACTTGACCCGACTGCTCCATGTTGTCAGGGAACCCATCCTTAGGACGCCCTTGGAAGTGCACAACTTGACCAGCTGTACACAGCAGCCTTGGCTGTCATCTGTCTCAAGGTTGCATTTCACCCCATGACAAGGTACAGCAGGTCTGAAATTCAGCCCCGATGTCCAATGAATGGACACTCTAGGAGTTACCGTCTCTCAAGGGAAATTCCTGTAGAAGCCCGACACCAGTTGGTTTCCAAACAACATGGCAGAAAGAAGGGGAACACAGCAGGGCTGTGTGGAAGGACCCAGCGGCTGGCTGCCCAGGCCTCCATTCGTGTTCCCTCCAGTTCCCCAAGAACCCGCCCCCAGAGTCGGAAATGCCCGGCCTGGGGTTCAGCCCCGGCTCCTGAGAGCACCCAGTGACGAGCTCTCGCTGCAGCCTGCAGCCCCAGCCCACACTCACCTTGGAGCATGCTTCGGTAGGCCCCCTCTGTCACTGCATACACATGGGGTGGCACCTCATGGCGCTTCTTGCCCCGATACATCTCCACAATGGCCTCCGTGTAGATGGGAAGCTGCTTGTAYGGGTTGATGACCACACAGAAGAGGCCTGAGTATGTCTGCAGCAGGCAGGAAGGAAGAGGGCCTCAGCAAGAGGCCGAGAGCAGCACAAAACCACTGGGTACAGCTGGGCAGGTTGTGCACTGCACGAGGGCATCTGGACCAGGCCTGTCTATACCAGACAATGTAGATCTGAATGTCTGTTATAAACATCTTCAGGCTAATGACATGAAAGAAGCTTCCCAAATTACATAAAGGTGCTATGCAGATCAAGGGTCCCCACAGGAGAGGAAATGGGCTTTGCAGCCAGTCAGACTTGGGTCACAGCCTGAGCCTGCCTCAACTGACATGCAGGAAGGGACCGTGTGCAGGGTCCCCCTGAAGCACCTCTGTRGCAGCAGAAGACCACAAGGGACCTGAGTGCACGCTCCACTCTGGATTCCCACCAGCTCTTGGTGCACAGATGTGGGGCCAWCTCCCAGGTGTTATGAGGGAAGCAGGGGGCAGAGGGCTGGGGAGAGGAGCGGCCGCCTGCGCTGGGCTGGGAGAGCCAGGTTTACACGTTCCCCTCAGCACCACGGCATCTGCCGCAGGGAGACACAACAGGAACCCATCTGTGCTCCCTATGGCCATCAGATGACCTGTCTGCTTAAGTGACTGTTGGCGGAACTGCAGGTTTGTGTCCCCCGCCCCAAACAGTCGTGCTAAGCTGCTTAGGGCCTCACTAAGTTGCTGAGGCTGGCTCCAACTTATGATCCTCCTGCCTCAGCCTCCCAAGTCTCTGCGATGACAAGTGTGTACCCCTGCACTGAGTTGGGCACCCTGAGCTCTAGGCCCAGATTTGGGACTTCGTCACAATCTAAGAAACTAACAGGTATCATCAAGCAGAATTGCTGCCTATCGTCTTCACTAACCATTGAACCGTCAGCGGCTCAGCCAGTTGGTCATGCACTGAGCTAGTTAACTGGCTGGCTGTTACTTAGCCGGTTCGCAGCAGAGCTGCTTTGAACTCCCAGACAACTGGGGCTTCTCAAGCAGGTAGGGTGTGGCCACCACAGGCCGCCGGCTGGTAGGTGCCAAGCTTCTAACGGAGGGAGGGCAGGCGGGTGGCAGCCAGGAGCAGCACAACCGGTTTGCTGGGTGTCTGCTCTCCTCGCCTGGAAGGCTCTCGGGAGCTCTCGGCTGGCTCTCCAGGGTGGGGTGGCCGGACCGCATTCCCTGGGTGGGTATCTCATGGCGCCGGCCCCCACTCCTGGCTGGCTGGGGAACCCACCCCTGCGCCAGCCCCCTCCCGCGAGCCACACCTGGCTCCCAGGGCAACACCCAGGATGGAAACCTGAGTTGACCAACAAGGCCAGGGGACGGCGTAGAGGCCGCTGCACCGCGGGAGGGTCGGGACATCCGAACTGCCAGGGCACAGCTGGGGGAGCCCAGTGGAAAGGTCTGGAAGGGCCACCCAGCTCCCGGGCTCCRGAGGCAGCCTGCTCCCCTCCTCAGCCGGCAACTTTCCCCACAGTCTCAGTTTCCTCCYGAGAAACCAAGGAGACAGCCGCCTCATTACAAAGGCCGGGGATTAGAGATAATGAATAAAACGCAGCCAGGCGGAGGCAGGGCCCGCCACTCCAAATATGGGCTCTGGGCCTCTCACATTACCTGTCCCTCTGGGGACCCAGGGCTGGCTCCTGGAAGCCACTCCATCCTGCGTTGGAAACCAGAGGAGGGGTTTTCTAGCTCTGGGGGACTTTGCAGGACAGATTTGCCTTTTTTTTTTCTTTTTCTGTTGCTTTGCAGAGCTGGGGATTAATTCCAGAGCCTTCCGCGTGCTAGGCAAGCGCTCTGCCCCTGAGTCACCCTCCCAGCCCAAATTCACCTTCGTTAAGCCTCAGTATGCAGCCCTGGGAAATGGGGTTTTAACCCCTGTCACCTCAAAGGGTTCTGAGGGCGAAATGGCCTGAGGTGTACTCCAGAGACTCGGGGAGCGCCTTAAAAGGCCTCCCCCGCACCCCTGCATCAAGGGCTCCTCAGCAACTCCAGGCCAACAGGTTCTCGAGGACGGAACCTGGGTTTCTGGAGCCCTGGGAACCCACCTTCCACCGGGCTGCCACGCTCTGCCCTCCACCAGCTGGACCACRGGTGTGTATTAAGCACGGTCCTAAGACAAGAAGGGTGGAGCTGAGTCTCTGCTGACCCTGCCTAGCAAGCAGCCTTTGTGGGTGTCCCTGTCCTCATTTACTGGGGACAGGAAAAGACTTCCCACACAGGGCGAGCCACGTGCAAGCAGGACCACAGGACCCAGAGTGGATCCAGGAACACTGCTCGCTCCACTTGTGACCAGCCCCTCCCGGGTCCATGGCCTCCCCCTCCAGGCTAGGAGGAGACGGAGGTGACAATCCCAGCCTCCTGGCTTCCTGTAGATGGCGGTGGGGCACCCAGGAAGCGGGTGCTCGCTCAGCACTAGTGACCATTATTAGGGCCCCCTCGCTTCCCGCTGGACTTCTGGAACCACCTTCCAGACCCAAGTTTCTGGCTCTCTAGCCACAGCCCCTGCTCAAGCCTACAGTTTTCCCACTGAACGAACTGATAATCTTCCTAGCGCAGCGGCTCGGACCTGGGGTCTGGGTTCCTGACCTGGGTTCAGATCCAGCCGCAGAGTTCCCAGCTKCGGGGTTGGTTCAAGGACTCCCCCTCCCCCCGCCCCTCTGAGGCTTCATCTGAAGAACACAGATGGCAGCAAAGACCCCACGAGGTGGCGGTGAGGGTTCAGAGTGCTCATTCAAAGGAAAATAGTGGCCAAACGTTTGGGGTGCCACTCTGACCTCCGGGGCCTCAGCAGTGCCCTGGGGCAAAGAGTCTGGAGAGGGTGCCAGCTCCACCGGGGCCAGAGAGCCCTTGAGCCAAGCCCCACAGCCACCCCCATGCCAGCTGCAGCTCCTCCCAGGGCCCCTGTCTCCAAATGGGAATCAAACATCCTCAAAACACCCTCATCTTGTGCCTAGTGGCCCTGGACAGGGAAGGGCAGGGGCCAGGCTGAGATTCCCTGGCACTCTAGGCGGGTGTTCAGAGGTGGCTCTGGGTTCGAATCCAGGAGTGCTTCCTCCACAGCCCTGTGACCCAGGCCCAGGGCAGTTAACATTCCTGAACATCAGGTGGTGTCAACGGACCCTGCCCTAGAGGGCAGCTGATAACACACACAGCGCTCAGACCCGAGCTTGGCACTTCATAAGTGCTTGATAAATATTTGCTAGCCAGCCATTATTTTTGCTTTTCATTATAATTGTGGACATTCCTTGTCATGCTCTCCGATCCTGTTTGCCCCTATGATGAATGAACTAATCACCCCACTAGAACCTCCCTGGAAGCTTATTAAAAAAAAAAAAAAAAGTCACACACCCAGATTTAAACAGTCTGAGGTAGGATGTGGTATTTTCTAAGAACTCCCCAGAGGGTTCCCACATGAAGCARGACTAAGCCTGCTGCCCTCCACCATCTGTTTGCTGTAAAGTTTCAATAGTGAGACAGACATTAAAGGATGAGCCCAGAGGTGGACAGACACCACAGTCAGCCTCACTAGAGTCAGTCCCATCTCACTCTCAAGCCTGGACCCAGACCCTTCCTGACTTCCAGGTGTAATTGGATGCCCTTGGTCARGGAACTTGGCCTCTCTGKGCCTCAGTTTCTTTATCTGTAAAATGGGGACCAAATGCTTTATGATTGTTAAWTTTTTTTTGAGACAGTGTTCTTTAGAAAGCTTAGAAGCGTGCTTATCAAATACTTAATAGAGGTTAGTTTTCAATATTATAACTCTCTGGGTTGCCTCTTATATAACATGGGGTAATAATAGGCTGGTTTTTGTCTGAGGGAGATTAACCCGGAGCATGGAGTTTTCTCTACTCTTTGGTTCCTGTCATTAAACCCAGGGGATCTACCATCTGGACACCCCAGTGGCTGTCCTGCTAGTGTTTGGCCTGGGGAAGGCACAGTCGCAGGACCTGGAGGACAGACGTCAATGCAGGTGGGGACCTTGACACCCTGCGCCCCCTCCCCGGGACACGGCCCTCGCGCGGCCACTCACGTAGATGAGGCCCGAGTAGTAGCGCTCGCGGAGGTTGTGCAGGACGGACGCCTCGTTGAGGCAGGTCAGCTCGGCCATGTCCTCGGCCTTGCTGAACTTGGGCGGRTTCATGCGCTGGATCTGGTCCCGCGGCAGCCGCAGGCGCCGCCCGCTCTCGGCCAGCTCCACCTCGGCCTCCTCCTCGCCCTCATCGCGCAGCGCGGCCGCCTCGAACCCGTGCAGCTCCGAGGGCACCCACACCAGGCGCCGCGCCGTCCACTCCACCTGCGGGGCGCTGCCCGCGCCAGGCCCGCTGCCCCCGCTCGGCCCTCGGGGCGTGAACAGGAAAGGCTGGGCCGCCTCGGGCACAGGGCCCGGCCTGGGGGGCGCCTTCCGTCCGGGCACCGACAGGGTCACGGCTGCCATGGTCTGCAGGGGMGAGAAGGAGGGTGACGTCCCATCAATGGGGCTCCACCCTTGGTGCCCACAGCCCCACTCCAAACCCCCAGGCAGGACCCTCACCTTCCTTCACCTCTTTTTACCTCTTCTGCATTTCTGCAAAATAGGTCAATAGAGTTGGCTTCCATTTTTCCACCTCTACTCATCCATTTACCCATCCATCCATCCATCCACCCATCCAATAATCCATCCATCCATCCATTCATTCAATTATCCATCCATCCATCCATTCAATAATCCATCCATCCATCCATCCATTCAATAATCCATCCACCCATCCATCCAGTAATCCATCCATCCATTCAATAATCCATCCATCCATCCATCCAATAATCCATCCATTCAATAATCCATCCATCCATCCATTCAATAATCCATCCATCCATTCAATAATTCCATAATTGGCCAGGCTTGGGGAACCAGGCACAGCTCTATGCATTCACAAGGTAGCAACTGTCAAGGTCATAGGTTCCTGCCTTCAGAAGCAGGTGCATTCTAGTCCCAGGCTGTCCGACACAGGAGCCTCTGCCATCTGGGGCTATTGGACACTTGAGATGTGACAAGTAGAACCAAAGAATGGGAATATTTATTTTCTTCTATTTTATTATTTTTAAAAATATTTTAAAAAATCGTAGTAGGACCTTTATTTATTAGTTTATTTATATGTGGTGCTGAAAATCAAACCTAGTGCCTCACACACGCTAGGCAAGTGCTCTACCATTGAGCTAAAACCCCAGCCCCCTTCTACTTTAATTAAACTTAAATATAAATAGCACCCTGTAACTATCAGGCACTTGAAATAAGGAGTCCAAACCCAATGGGACTCTGAGGATAAGATACACCCTACACTTCAAAGATTCAGTGTGACAGAAAGATAACCCGTCAGAATTTTTTTTTTAATTTGGTGACATGTTGAAATGATACTATTCGAAAAAAAAAAAAGAAATGATACTATTCGGTGCCATTTAGTATATTGAAATGATACTATTTTGGATGCCCCGGGTTGGGTAAAATACATTTCACTAATGTCATCTGTTCTTTTTTACTTTTTTTAAAATGTGGCTACTAGAAATTTTTTAAATTTTAAATGACACATCGGACTTGCAGTGTATTTATATTGGCAGTGCTATTCTAATCCCAGGAGACGATAAAAAGATAAGTAAGTAAATTATATAGTATGTTAAATGGTAATGAATGCCAATGAAAGAAATCATTGGAGGTACTGAAGTTTTAATTGGGGTGGCTGRGGAAGGCCTCTCTGATGTGGCACTTTTAAATAAAGACCTGAGTGATTTAAAAGAAGGAAGTCACAGGGATGTTGGGAGAAAAAGATTTCCAGACAGCCAGTGCAAAAGCCCTGTTACTGTGAAGTGACCAGGGTGACTAGAGCCAGGAGATGGGGATACAGAGGATAGCAGGTGAGGTAAGGGAGGGGACAAAGGACACAACCTGGCTTTTTACTCTGAGATGTGAGCCCCAGGGAGGTCTTGATCTGACTTTTGTCATCTGGTTCCCTGAACACCTGTGTTGACACCTGTCTTCCCACCTGCTAACATCTCATCCCTCGGTTAACACCTCCTTCTTTCTCTGTAGAGCAGAGACTGGCCCCATTCTTTCGCTTTCGCTCTGCAGATGCCCTTCCAGGACCAGGTGTGCCCAGATGGGTCTGGGCATGGGGAGAGACAGGGAAGCATCAGGGGGCCCTGTCTCTTGGAGCTCCTGCAGAGGGGCCCAGCTCCGGTCTCAGACAATCCAAGGAGTCTGTGAATGATTCTGGAAGCACCCAGGGCACTGCATAAACCAGAGCGTGCTGGCTCCCTCCCGCTCCCTGGGAGGCTGTGGACAGGAGTGAGCAGACAGCAATCCCAAGGCAGTCCAAGATGGGCAGGAAGTGACCTGCAGTGTGTCCTCCGGGAGAAGGCTGCCTCTGCCTGTCCCCTGCCTCAGACACACCCATCACAGGACTTCTGGTCATTTCTGCCTCCCACTCAGAGCTTCCACCTCTGCCACCAGGCCTAGAGGTACCTGCCGTCCTCACCTCCCAGCACAGCAGTCCTGGCTCCCAGCCTCTCCTGGCCCTGATACTCCTGGGCTTCAACCCCTGGACCCTGCACTCCGAAAACTGAAAGGCATTTCTCCACCCTGGGGCCCCAAAGAGCTAAGGCTCACCCCAGGCCTCTTGTGTGGCCTTGATACACCCAGAGAAGCTCCATCCCTGGGACTTTACCCCCCACTCCACCCCACCCCACCCACTTCCTCTCCAGCTCCGTGGCCTTTGACCAGGAAGGGTTTGGGAGTTTTTGCAATCGCTGGGTCCTAGGCCTCCCTCCCTGGAGTCAGGGATCCAGGCCCCAGCCCCCTAAACCCCTGGGGACTCAGCAGTCTGAACCCTCAGCCCTCTCTCACCTCACCTCAATCCCTTGGAGGGCAGGATGCTGGGTTCTAAGGACTGACAGGGGCACTACAGGAGTGAGCCAGCAGGCCTGGCCCAAACAGCYGCGCCCCTCCCGCTCCCCCGCCCTCCCTCGGCCAGCAGGAACGCTTTGCCAGGGCTCATTAGTGTCACCTAGGCAGGTGAGAGCACCTGCCCTGGGAGGGGCAGACATCGCTGGGCTGGAGTAAAAGGAGCCAGGGAGCCGCCCTGGGGCAGGGGTTGGGGCTGCTGGCATCCGACCTCCAACCTGAGCTTCTTGCTACCACCCAGGAGTCCAGCCTCCTCCCTCAGACCCAGGAGTCCAGATCCCAGCCTCTTCCCTCAGACCCAGGGGTCCAGAACCCAGTCTCTCCTCCCTCAGACCCAGGGGTCCAGAACCCAG